TGTCCTGTCCAGGTGTTTGTGATGGTGTCTCGTTTAGTCTGTGTATATAAGTCTGGGTCTTTGTGTTATTCGTTGTCTGGACATCGTCTGGTGAGATCTCCTGAGTCCCTGTGTTTCTTGGTGTTTCTACGTGCTTCTGGGACAAAGTTTTGCTGTTTATTTTGTATCTTTAAAGTGTTTCTTATTTTACAACCTGGTTTCCAAATCCTGCCTGTACGATTGAGTTCTGCTCTAAAACCACTGCTTATGACACTAGGCCTGTGGGGCTTTTCCTGTTTCTCTAATTACGGCTAACCACTTTGGGAAAACAAGTCTTTGAACATACAGCAGCAAGGTAAAAACTTAAGAATCAATGAAGGTGAACACGTGAAAAAAATTATCTGAGGGCTATTTTTATTTATTCATTTTATTTATTTATTTAAATATTATATATTTTATATTATTTATTGTCTGTCCAAACAGGTCTCACTTGTAAATGAGTCTTCGAGGCTCAGTGTGACTTATCTGTTCAAATAAAGGTTGAATGAAAAAAAATTACCAAAGACCCATTTGTTTAAATGGAGGGGGCGGGACTTAAAACTTGTACTGGAACGAGTCTATGGGAAGGTGGGTGTCAGGGGATTTTCGGTCAAGGTTTACAGATGTTTTATCACTAGTAGTGTTAACTTTTGAGTTACCAGAGAGTTCTTTTCTCTCTCAGGAGAAGAGCTTATTTGATCTTGCATGTACAGCTGGGAGGCCGAGGTCATCAGGCCTATGAGATCTGATAAGCACATATATAAAAACCAACCTCACACAGTGCCCAGTGCAGATTCTTGTGACTGGGCTTCATAATGTAGAACTTGTATATGGAGTATACCCACAAGAAAACCTTAAGATTTTCAGTATACCCACTTAAAAGTGCCCAGTGATACATGACACATCATTAGACACGTGTCACTGATACACTAAACGTAACAATCTATCTGTATGGAACGCTTGTTTATTACATTCACTTATCCAGCAAATTATTGTATAATTAATACTTCTGTACTTACTACTTAATACTTGGACATGTTTTGCTTTGATGCTGTTTTACAAATGTTATAACATGTTTTTTCAATACAAAGCCAACTGTTGTACAACGTTTGTAGTTCATTTGTTCAAATATAAGCATTAGAGAAATTTGGAAATGTTCAATATGCTTAAAAATCTAAATAAATTGATGATTACATTGTACTAACCAGTATACTTTGGTTTCTAAGTACAGTATACAGACTGGCCGCGGTAAAGTTAGTTTTACGTTGGACATTCACGCTCCGTGGCTTCAGCGGTGTCCAACATAAAACTAACTTTACCGCGGTATACCCACTACAAAAATGTAGACTACACCACTTGTGTAACCTGTTGTGAAAGTCTGCCCTTGCAATTAAAACCAGTTAAAATATCTTCTCGTGTCCTCGAGTGTGGCTTCTTGGAGTAAGTAAGATAAATAGAGGATAATTTTATCCAGCAGTGGGCTCATTTTGACTTCAGCTTTCACATTCCTGTTGCATTTCTAGTGTCATACGATGGATGATTTAAACCAACAATCAACCTTAGACGTGCATGTTGTCTCCTGAGAGGTGACCCGACTCAACCCAAACCTGGATCTGTGTGACAGAGGCGACGGTGTCCCAAACCTTAGAGGGAGAGAGCTCACAGTTGACAGAGGTGGCGTGGGGAGGGGACTCTAAAGCTGTCATTCCTGAGTCTGACTCACTGCATTTGCTTTTGAAGCAGTGAATCACATGCATGATAAGGGGGGGTGGGGGGGGGGGCTGTTTGACAGCTCGACGTCACATGTCAGCAGCGAGCTCTCCCACACAGGAAACCAGCTGTTGGAGGGGAAAAGTGACAGGAAATGTAGGGTTACAGTGCAAAATACCTACATCTTAACATTTTATTTTGATCAATCCTAAAATCTTCCCTGTATAATTAGTTTTTTTAATTTATTTATTTATTTAAGGCAATGAGAGCAGAAATCATTTTAACACTAAGGATAAATTTGAAAAAGTTAGGATGGATTTCTTTTACACTGCAAAGTTCAAAAGGGGAAGCAAAGGGGGAGAAGGGATCACATTCACAGGTCTTTTGTCGCAGCCATTCTGTTTTTCCTTCATTTTATTTCCTTCACTCACACCGAACACACAGAGAGGTCAAACTTAGGGAGCAATGTGACGATGATGAAGATGGGTACAGGCGATGATAGACTTTTTAGACATCGTGAATTTAACAACAAAAACCCACGCAGGACTGACATTTGCTGTTTATTTCTTAACATTTTTTGCAGCTGTGTCGATCAAAGCTTATTGTCGTCACTTTGCAACATCATCAATGAGCTTTTGTTTGTCTGTGTCTAATAAAACGTGGCTTGTGTGTGAATAGGATCCTTTAGAAAGGCGACTTGCAAATGTCAGTCCTGGATAAGAGAAGACGAGGGTAAAAAGGGTGGGAGGAAGAAGAATTGAGTAGAGAAACGAGTTAAACCAGGACACAACAAGATGATCAGCTGATATGGATGGAGTGATTCAAACAAAGGAGAGGCAACAAAGAGAAAGGTATAACTTAAAAAAAAGAAGCTGATGGTCTCACGTTCAAAGTCAAGGAAAACTATTGGGCCATGCTCAAGTTCGGCGCAAGCCAGCACTTTCAGGAGGTTTCCCATGAGCCCCCTGGAACAGAGAGAGGGGACAAGTCTGTGGGTGATGAGGGGATGGGTGCCGGGTTGTGCGCACACGGGTGTATGAATGTGTGTGTGCATGTGAGCTTCAGGTGTGTGTTTGGTGTGCGAGAAAGAAGGCAGTTTGGGTGTGAGACGGGATGAGAGAGCGGTCGTTGGAATGGCATGGTTGGAGTAAGACATGGCAACACTGACACGTCTGACGGCGTCTTCCCCCCACTCTCATTGATCCTATAGAGGTGGTCTCTGAGGAGAAATATCTCCAGTGGTGGTGCTGAGGTTTCAACGTAAAACATGACAGAAATGTTCAAAAATAAGGTTTCAATGAAACAAAAAGAAACTAATAACTAAAAAGTTATAAATCTCAACGCTTTAAGCAACTGCTTCATTTCAGTGGCTATCTGCGAGAAATGGAAGCAGAAATTAAAATAATCGTTTGACCATTATGAAGTACTCGATGTAAAAGGTATGAATGATTAATATTTTCCCTGTTGTAAATAGCTTCTTGAAAGGCCTCAGTTTGAAAAACAGGGTTTAAGCGAAGGGCTAGTCCAAATCAGCTACGATGAAAGTGGATTGATGCTGTCTTACAACAACTTTAGTCACTAAGATTTTAAAAGAATGTGAACCTTTATGCTGCTGTCTCTTCTTCTTCTGACTTTTCACTCCTCAGGGTCTCCACAGCGAGTCATCCTCCTCCATCTACCTCCATGTCCTCACTCCAACTACCTCCATGTCCTCTCTAAATGCATCCATACATCTCCTCTTTGTCTTTTTCCTGGCAGCTGCATTTCTAACATCCTTCTACCAATATACCCACTGTCCCTCCTCTGGACATGTCCAAATCACTGTCCCTCCTCTGGACATGTCCAAACCATTGTCCCTCCTCTGGACATGTCCAAACCATCTCAGTCTGGTGTCTCTAACTTTATCTCCCAGTTGTTCAACCTGTGCTGTACCTCTGATGATCTCATTCCTAATCTTATTCATCCTTGTCACTCCTAAGGAGAACCTCAACATCTTCATTTCTGCCACTTCCAGTTCTGTCTCCAGACCATACAACATGTAAACTTTTCCTTTGACCTTTGCTGACACCCTTTTGTCACAAATCACTCCTGAAACTTTTCTCCATCCTGTCTGGACTCTCTTCTTCACCTCTTTACCACACTCCCCATTTTCCTGGACATTGGACCCCCAGTACTTGAAGTCCTGCACCTTTGTGACCTCTGCTCCTTGTAGCCTCACTGTTCCACCTCCTCCCTCTCATTCACACACATGTACTCTGTCTTACTACGGTTGACTTTCATTCCTCTTCTTTCAAGTGCATACTTCCACCTCTCCAAGTTCTCTTCCACCTTTTCCCTGTTCTCACCACAGATCACAATGTCATCTGCAAACATCATAGTCCACGGGGATTCCTGCCTGACCTCATCTGTTAGTCAGTCCATCACCAGAGCAAACAAGAAGGGGCTCAGAGCCGATCCTTGATGCACTCCCACCTCCACCTTGAAGCTATCTGTCACTCCTACAGCACATCTCACCACTGTCCTGCTGTCTTCATACATGTCCTGTACCTGTCTAACATACTTCTCTGCCACTCCAGATTTCCTCATGCAAAACCACATCTCCTCCCTCAGCACTCTGTCAGATGCTTTTTCTAAATCCACAAAGACACAATAGAGTCAGTTGCTGTCAATCTCACATTTCACTGTATTTAAACTGAATTCTGAGTGAAAAGCATCTGCAACACTGTAAATATTTGGAGATTAAAGTTGGTTTAAGCCCATATCAGTCCATTTCGATCTCAGCTGCGTTTGGACTAGCCATTAGCTTGTTAGCTCTGATGGATGTAAACCAGTTTGTCTAGTTTAGATTGTCCAAGAAGCTACCCACTATTGGTAAACTATTAAATATTTATCCCTTTTACAAAGAAATTCACATCAAAATGACTAAAACATTCCTTTAAATCAGATTATTTTTAAAAAGGCAGTCAGGTGATTTTATACAGCTTAAATTTAATCCTAAAGAACGAGCAAGTTACATGATAGTCCAGTACAGATATTACGTTTTTGAGTCCTAGTACTTTGTGTACTTGGCGTATTTGTAGCATCATGAGTTAGAGAGTGGGGTTAAAGAGCGTCTGGTGATGACATACGACACCCTCAACAATGCTCCATCACACCATCAACAACTCAGCATCTCGCCCCTCTGACCCGACCCCGCGACCTCTCACCGCACACCTCGGCCTCACACTCACAATACAAGCACACAAAAAGCACACACCCGGGCACTCACTTACTTTCAAAGTCCAGGAAAAAATGCGGACAGTTCTCTAAATCCTTGCCAAGGACCTTAATGAGGTTCCCCATGGCTGGCGACCTGGACGGGAGGAAACAGTAAAATGCATACAGTACCAGAACCTGGCAGCCCACTGACAAACACACAACAGGTACATGGAGGACACAGCAGGTTGTGACTGTTTTTATTCTTGTTTGGCCCATCTGCTTTACTCTAACGGTCCCGTCTTCCTGTTTGGGCATCACGTCCAGAGCCAAGTCAGACATTCCAGCCGTAAGTGACGCTGATCGCAGCTTGAATCAGATCCGCAGCGTACGCTGGATCCAATTAGACGGCCCAAATCCAGCTCTGAATCATTTAGCTCACTCCCTGGGACTCACCAGAGCTGGACTGGGGGTATAATCCATTTACATTACTATAGTAATCTAATAAAATGCTACTTCTATGCACCGACCGCCCTGCTGTAATTCTTTTAAAAAAAAAATTTTTTGTCTATACGTGCTTTTTATATCCTCAAAGATGCCAGAGCTGCGTTAAACCACCGGCATGTAACAAACTGAAACCCCTGTATCAAAACTGATAACACTTTTTTAAAGCTTAAAAAACAGGATGCATCTGTAGCATGGCATATAGTGTTCATAAAGACAGGTCAATGGACAGTAAAGGTCTCATGGTGTAGACTGGTTTGTGAACAGCAGTCAGAAGGATGCAAGCATTCAGACAGACTGCATCTAAAAATCTGTCCAAGCAGTCTCCAACAACCACAGCTCAGAGAAACTACCTTAAAGCAGCGTTTTAATGCGGGGTACTTTGAAAAGATTATGAACAGTTAATATCTTACCTGTTGTAGATAGTGTCAGGGAAAATTATGTAAAGGTCATGGATGTTGTCACTAATGTTAGATTAATGTAACATTAATTAACATTAATGTAGAACCATGTGTGTATCGGAGCTTCTATTTACACATTTTCCGTATCATAAACTACTGTCATGGATCTGGTCAGCTGGACTTTCAACACAATTGATACATTTTCTTTCAACCAAGCAACAGGATCCTGGAGAACCCTCACGCCCTGCTGAGACGCACGCGGCAGGATATGTCATGGATCCATGGGGGGGTTTGGAAGTTGATGTGCCTTTCTGTATTGTCTCAGAAGGATGCTGAAGGTGTTTATATCACTGGAATCATGATAGCAGAGTGTCAGCATTTTGGCACCAGCAGATACCTATGTTATCGCCTATTGAAGAAGATGGTGGCAGCAGTTTTGGCCATGGCAAAGCTGCCGACCTTGTGTAAAGGTTCGCTTCGTGCTTTGAGCACTCAAAATCAGCTGTTTTACGAGCTAAACTTTAAGATGGAAGCGATTTGTGAGAATCGCAGGCCACCTGCAGCTTCTGGGACTCACCAGCATGTTGGACACGACCTTGGAGGGAGCTAATAAGCAGGGACCAGTGGAATGCCCACAAATCTGGCCATTTTGGATCATCAAAATTACGAGCAGACCTCAAGGCTGACGAGAAACAACAGCCTGCCTGAAAAAAAAAATCAACAACTGTGGCTTATCTGAATCTGACTACCCTGTTCGGCCTCGAAGCAGGCCGACTTATCAAATTTCTCCTGGGATATGTGTAAACTAAGAAGGCTCTGTCTATCGCAACCCCACCACCCCGAGAACTTCTGTGAATGCTTATCAGAGCTGTACCGGCTGACACCAACATCTTATCAGGACTATGGTGCTATCTGGAAGTGCTTCATGGACAAATCTCACCGTCTTGTCGTCAAATGCTCATGTTATGTGTCTATAAATGTTCTTGCTGGTAGAGTTTTTTGATGTCTTAAATCATGTCCTGGTAGGTGTGAAGAGATCTTTTTTGTAACACCACTATCCTCTCTTCATGGCCTTTTCCGCTTTTAGAATAAGGGGCCACGCTCTTAGGAGCAGCAGCAACGTGCACTCTGCCCATCTTTCAGATGACTGTAAGAACATAATATCACTCTGTACTTTGGTACAATGATAATAAAGATTATTCTGATTCTGATTCTGAGTTAGAGTGGTTTTGTCTGAACAGAGAGGAGCCTGTGCACCTGATAACCTCCAAGGCCTCTAAGCTGGAAAGCAGAGGGTGTTTGACCTTGTCTCTGCCTGATAAACATTACAACAGACACTTCTTTATACTGTCCGTGGGCAGACCATACGACCGGAGCTTCCATGTAACATCTGTGTAAGCCTGTGTGTTAACTCTGCCCCACCCTGCAAGGAGTAAACTGGGTTGAAAAATCTTCTCGTCCTCAGTGTGGCTTATTTGAGTAAAGAGATGATGGATTAAATTATCCAACAGATAGCTCTCTGAACAACTTCAGTTTGCAGAAACAGACTTTCGTTTCGTTCACGAGCTAACAGCTAGCCTGCGTGAAGTTTAGCCTAAAGTGGGTGGCTGTCATCTTAAAACTACTTCAGTCTCCAATCTTTACAGCAGTCGCTGATTTATAAACTTTTACACCACTGTCAGTTTTACATTGCATGGCTGTGTCCATAGATTTCTCTGGTTCATGCTCTAATACGGACAGCAGCAGTTAGCTGTGTCTCTTCATGTGCAGCCTGGAGCAGTTCCAGCAGAATATCATAGTATTTTTCTCGATTAACAGTGTGAAAAGGTTCATAAAACAGAAGCTACATGGCTACGACAGGTAAGACATTAACTGCTCTTAACATTTTATCTGAACCCCACCTCACAAGACCTGAACTATCTCTTTAAGGTGCCAACCAGCAGGTGGGCTAACACAAACGAGTGCAATAATAAATACCGACTTCCAGCTGTGCCTTCGTCTGTGATTATTTCCTCTTTTTTGATGCCAGGAGAACTATCAGAAGATCATCTAACAAGTTTTGCTTCCTCTGCTGTCTTCATGTGGGGCGATGTTTGCACACAGCTGGGGGGCTTTCAGTTTGTCCTCCAAAAAAACGGCACAGGAATGATTCACAGCATGCTTACAGCACGCCACCGTGCACGAGACAGAACAAAGCTCAGACTTGTTGCAGGTCCTCGGTAAGAATGAGAGCAGCAGGGAGGTCCAGGTGGATGGAGTCGCTGAGCTGCCTGACACTTTCCTTTGTCGTGATCAGGACCACAGCTGCTGCTCCTTCTACTGTCCATCATGCTGAGTCACCTCTGTAATCCAGCCCAAACATGCAAAACACACCCTCAACGTTCACACCACCTGTTCCAAACCAGCTTCATGAATACATGAATCATAGATTCTCGTTCTTCAGCCTGACAAGGTGATCTCAAAGGAGAAGTCGAGCTTCCTACGATAAACTGACGCATCAGAAAGCGCCGGTGTCGGCGTGTGTGAAAGTGAAAAGTGAGCAGCATGAGGTCCATCGTGAGAGCGGAGCTCGGCTGGTGGTTGCTAGGATACCGTTGGCCTGGTGATGCTGCCTGCTCATCTTTGCTGAAGACAGAGGAGAGAGGCATCCAGCCTGTGCACACACCGAGCTGGATCACCTCAAACATGACGATACAAAGTCAAGGTTTAAGATGAGGAACCTGTAAAACCTTCAGGCTCTGTTCTTACCCTCTGCTGTGCTGAGGCTGGTGCTTCTTCTGCTATCGATTTATCTTCCTGCTGTCTTCCTCCTGTTTCTGAACACCTCTGCAGTGAGTAAATCCCAGGTTGTCCCAGCTGAGACTGACTCTCTCTGCTTCTCTAGAGATCGAGACAAACTTCTGCTCCGGCTCTTTCTCCCTCTGTCTCGGAGCGTAACGTCTGTCCACTTCACACTTCTCTTTTTCTGGCATCTATTTAAAAACCTGTGGTTTTCTCTGTTTGCTCTGGCCTAGATGCTGCATGTTTAAAAAAAAACTCGGTGATACTATGCTGGGGTGATGCAACTGCTGCACATGTTTTTACATTTTTGTCTTTTCTTTTGTTGTTTATTTACAGAAAAACAACTCCTTTTCTCTTCAATTTTCTGACATCAGAATGGGTTCCTCAAAAATATCCCCTGCAGCTTTCCTTTCTGCCTCGCTTCTCCATTTCACCACTCGGCAGTACTTCCCCAGCTCCTTTGGCGTTATCTTGTCAAAGCACATCTCTGTCATGATGATGCTCCGTCTCGTTTTCGTCCCTCTGGTGCAGAGACAGTACGATGAGGCCGTGCATTCACACACTCTCATTCACCATCTGTACTTAAGCCAGAGCAGAACATTGTTTGAACACTGTGGCATGATGGGAATTAGGAAGTATGTATGCTGGTCATTGGTTGCAGTTTCTACATGCAAAAAATGTACACAGTGTGTGCGAAAGTGGAGCAAAGAGCTTCTGTTATGCAACTGCATTACAAACACAGCTCTAATCTGTAGTCGGGCACAGGAGACCAGGACCAGGAGCTCCTTGAGTCCTAATAAAGACACAGATTGGTGACCACATGGGCCTGAGAACTGGACTGGGAGCCAAGCTGCTGAGCCAAGTCTCCCTGAAAGATTCTCCTTGTTGCAGTCCAGAAACCACTTCAGTGTGAATTTACTCAGCACAGAAATAACACATCTTAACATCTATTAACTCACCAGTAATCCCATTTAAACCTCTTCTGCCTCCTGCGAGTCTGACCACAACATAACTGTAATATTTAGGGGTTCAAATCAAACCATTTATACTGAGAAGGCAGAAATAAACTGCACTCTTGTAGTGGTTGTCTAACGTTCTGACTCCCATTTGGTGCCATCCATCTGTTTTTCTTTCCCCAACACCCCCATGGTCTCTCATAGATAACTTTATTTTTCAGGTTTATTCCGATGCCCGTCTTTTACTCCTACCTTCTTTATGTGAGTTTATTTTCCACTGGATCACTTCACTGCATCAAACAGGGCTTGTCAGCTCCTCACGCTGGTCACAGCATCAGCACCCAACACCTGGCAACGACACAGACAAAATATAACAAATGTAACATTTGTGTAATCAAGGTTAAATTCAACTATGTGGAGCGATGCTTTAATTCTGAACTGTAACCCACATTACATTTTACCACTATTTCTGCCAAGTCACTGATTTATTACTGTTTTTTTAACCATTATTTTGCTAACAGACTGAGTCTTTGTCAGTAGTTCAGAATCAGAATCAGCTTTACTGTCATTGCACCGAAGCACAATGAAATTGCATTTTCAGTACAGCCCATCCAAGAGAACAACATAAACAACAACTGACATGGGGGAACGGAGGTGACTGGGGCCACCGCCTCGGGAGGTACAGCCTTATTTTCAGGTAAGGAAAAAGAAACACGAGGTGGAGGGTAGGTGTAAAAAAAAAAAAATCAAATCTCGCACTGTGTCCTATGGGACACAGTATTAGAGTTACAAAAAAAAGACCTCAGTGCAACATGAAGAGCACATAAATAGACATAATACATATGCGTGTGGAGTGGGTAGGGAGTGGGGGTCTCAGCACGGCCGTCAGGTGAGCGACGCAGCCCTTTGGTGCCTTCGCATTTCCTAGGTTGCTGCACCAGGGGAGGCAATGAGGGAGGCCAACGAAGGCATGAGTTTGTGGGGAAGTCGTAGCACAGCACAATCCAGAGCCCAGAGCCATAGTCCTGATAAGTGGTATTTGTTTATCAGCCAGCTTGGTTGAGCTCTGACACTGTTCCACGTCCTTGGGAAAGAGAGGGGGTGAGGAGGGGGCAGTGTGTCTTGTTTCCACAACATCCAAGGAGAAATTGAGATAGTCAGCCTTCCAAGGCCAGAGCCAGGTTCAGATTTCATATTGTTTTGGGTCAGGCCGAGCTCTTTGATTTCCGCGTCTGCCTTTTACAGTCTCACTTGTACATCTCACGGTGACTCCAAACAGCTAAATTATGAGTACTTACGCCAAAGTCGGGCTTACAACTTCTCCAAGATCTATTCCTTCCTACCATCCGTGAACACTGCCAGAAGTCTCACAGTCCTGCCTGCTCAACTCTGATACAGGTCCACAGATAGTTCGCACAGAGTCTGAGTGTTGCCAAGCCCGGCACACACATTCCAGACAGCTTAAACAGCTGCTGATGTTTCCAAATTTGTCGATAATCCAGATTTCCACTGACTCCAAAAAGCAGAATCCAGTTATCATAAATCCAGTTATGTTTCAGAGATAAGAGGGTTCTCCTTCACCCTGGGGCGGCTGTGGCTGAGTGGTTAGAGCAGTCGTCCTCCAATGTGAGAGTTGGGGGTTTGAATCCACCAGCAGTCACATGCTGAAGTGTCCCTGGGCAAGACACTGAACCCCTCATAGCCTCTGATGTGTGTCCCATCAGTGTATGAATGTGATCTAAATCACTGATTAGTCTCATTAGAATGATTTGTTCAATTAGCTTTGTAGAGATCTAGTGTAGTATGAATGGGTAAATGAGGACACAGATTGTAGTGTAAAGCGCTTTGAGTATCTTGAAATAAGATATAAAGGCACTATATCCATTTACCATTCCATCACCCTGTCTTCTTGTTGAGAAAATTTGATCAATTGCGTTGAGAAACCAGCTGAACAAATCCTTAGTTCACAATCCAGAAGGTATGCAAAAATGGGCTCTGAAAAAAGGTTTACCAGACAAAGAGCAAAGCAGGGATGGAGTAGAGGATGAAGCATCTGCTTT